TTTTTATATTGAGTCTTTGATATAATAATGATTTTTTATTAAGAATAAATAGTGAGTATGCTGTATTGTAGTAAGTGTAAAAGTATATATGGTTGTTGATGAACGTTGATGAGAAAGAAAATAAACTCAGACGAAATCGCAGACTGTCTTATACCTGATACGTATTTCCAGTGTATCATATTTCATGGCTAGGGTTTGAGTCCCACTTTCACGAAATTCAATTTTTTCAACTTTAAGTTTCAACCTTATATGCTACTGCTTCATGTCTGTTGATTGTTAATATTCACAAATTAATTAAAATAAATATTCCTCGTAGAAATACACAGTTAAATACCTTGGCAAAAATAAGTTGAACATAAAGCGTTTTGTTAATATTGTTCTGGAAATAATCAAAGCTTTTCGAGCTTTCCATATATGAACTTCTAATCCGAAGTCTGTGCTTTGACAATGCAAATGGCCTGTATAAAAAAGAATCACGTTAACCAGTTCGAAATTGCGAGCGAACGTCGAAGATGATCGAGGCCAAAATTAAACACGCCAGCAGGATTGAGCAAATTGTGCTTGAAATTACAAATGAAGAGTAACGAGTAAAATCACATGATTTTCGAGTAACGATTACGTTCAAATCAAAATTAATTTGAAATGTTATTTGAATGAAATTTCATTCAAATACTGCTTAACTTTGAAAATGATCATTGTATAATATCATATTTCAATATAATCACATGGTTAACTCATAATAATTTATAATAAATTTATTGTACACTCGATTGCATTGTTACTAGAAAAATGAACATTCATATAGATATCTTGGAAACTAAAGCTTCAAAGGCAGACAATTAGTATACCTATTCGCGTAATGAACTAAAATCGACACAAAATTTTACAAAAGAATATTTATGAAATTCAAAACCGTTAAATTGACGTTCCGTAAATTTAGTGTTAAGGAGTTTATAAAACATTACTTTTTAACCTAACTTTGAAATCTACATATTTAATTCCAACTTATTTTCTTCAACTTTAAACCTACAGAATTGAAAGCTGAATAGGGAGATTTTGTCGGGGATTCGTGAGCAGCGAGCTTGATCCTATCCCTACTGGTAACCTTGTGACGATCGGATCGCGCGAATTACGAGCTCGACGCGATTATCCGATGCATCTGGGCAGGTGTTCCACGCCTTTTTCTCTTTCTACGGTAGCCGGGGATCGCCGCAGGCGGGAATTGCGGGTTTGCGGCCGGACGGCTCCGCCTGCGGGCTAGTTTTCTGAAACCGGTCCTTCGAGGACATCCGTATGTACCCTTAAGCAGCGTGTCTACTTGACAATTTTACTCCCGACACTTGGCCGGCCGGCAAGCCTATTAATTTGTGTTTTTCTCTTTGCACTCGACGATTTGTAGCTCATTAAGCGGCCTTCTCTGGCCGTTGATTAAAAGTCGGTAACTCATTCATCACATGTTTTCTTATTGGCAGCTGATGATCGTAAAAAGAGCCAATCGATCGACTCGAATAAAACTATGATGGCACTAGAAATAAACAGGAATGATTGATATTGATATTCTGTTTGTTTCATTCGCAAATCGTTAGCACAATAAATATCAAAAATTAACCTATGAAATTTTGTTTAGTTTGATAATGAAGGATTATAAAATTTTTAAGGTTATCAAAAATTGATAGAATTCATAATTATAGAATTCATCAGTGTTGTCACTAAATAATTGTTAAACTAACATTATAGTTTCGAATGTGAAGAGTCAAATAACAACCAACGTCTCAATAACAGAACTGAGTAGGTGTTTCACAGTTCCAAGAACGATGGTTTTATTGGTTCCCAAGCAACAAGTACCTTTGCTTCCGTAGACGCCACATAAAAGAGTTTCCAGAAAACGCCGGTGTTCGGTGATAAATTTTACAATAAAACGCACAGCCGTCAAAGTTTTAAGAGTACAATTCCCTAGGGAATACAAACCCGGTAGCAGTTCTTTAACACCTCAACACTATTAGTTTCATGCCTTTGACTTTTATCTGTTATTGCAAAACGAATAGCCGAGTAATTTTATAGACCGAATTTGGGATTATCCTTGCTCGTTCGAAGTATTTTGTACGTACCACAATGTTAACCTTAGGTCGGACAATGTCTGACATTTGCGTAAGAATAGAATGATTCTAATTCAAAAATATAAAATGATTTTTAATATTAAACGTACTGGTTTCTTATATATACCTATTCGTACTGTATCCAGTCGAATAATTTGTTACAAAATGAAGGTAAACAAGTCAGACAATAAATTGTCCTTAATGAAAACAGAAACAAAAGGAAAGACAAAAATTAAAAATCTGATTAATCTGATAATATAAGAATTGATATAAAGTTAAATGAACGAGAGAAAATGTAGATCTGAAAATCAAATTTGAATACCGGTCATTTGACCGGTCGCGATACGTTTGGTGTTAAAAGCAATACTCTTACACTGTCACAAAGAATTAATTTCCAATAATTGTCCCATCTACAAAGTGAAATACTCACGATACGTATTAAAATAAGTGAAAGTACCTCTCGTATGAAAAGTAGTGTAAAATCCTCGTCAATTATTATCACGTGAACACGTAGCATAAGCACGAATCGTTCTGGATTGTCAGAGGTTCCAACACCATGTGAACGGGTTTTCATCGTTCCACTTTCTATGGAATTTCCCGACCAGAGAACAGTTTGATAACATAAATGGACGTTCATTTAATACATTGTACGAGAAAATGTTGAAAAATGAGTAACAGTAAAGTAACTTTTGCGCTGCTAATCAGAAAAATATATAATACAAACAGTGTTAATAATATTTAACAATGATCCATTTTACCTTTATACTATTTAATTCAATTCACGAAGGAAATGGAATTTTCTTTAATACTGACGATTCTAAAATTTTCTCTAAAAGTGGATACTTGCGTGGACATTTATAACTATGTAATTATACAATGGAAAATGGTTTTATCTAATGAAAGCTATAAAAAGTACAACGTTTTGATATTTCATACATTCTTTCACATTGCTTGCATCTCGTGCAATTTTGCACTTTCAAATTCCCCATAAATGAGTGAATATGCTTTTTCTCATTAATATTGCCCGCAACTCAAAGTAATTTTAATAAAACAAGCGTATTAATATATAAATACATACGCACATGAAAAGAGAAGTCATAGATGTATATTACTGTTTTTTATCGATTATACATATAAATATTATAATATATTTAATGATAAAGTTTTATAGTTTGTAATGGCAAATTTTAAATCGCTCTGCTTCGGAACCTCCGAGTTCAAAGAACTAGTTATTATTTCATTCCATGGTCGGTTCACCGGTAAAGAAATAAGTATTCCAATCACCGTCTCTTCATGGCAAAAACACGGATTCCCATTAAAATTCGTGTTCCACTTACGACACACGCTCGTGTAATTAGCGAAATGCAGTAAGACCGTGAAACGCGGATAATGAAATACAAACAGAGAGGGAGAAACATTTCGGATGTAAAATTCGGCCGGCGGAAATGAATTTATGGGAAGAATGCCGCGAGAAAGTGGATTGCCCACAATGCAGCGTTTATACAGGGAATTTCAAAGTGGCTCCGTTAACGCGATGAACGACCGCAACTATTCCAATTGTTCAGGAATCGATGGAAAATCAGTGAGCCGCCGCGGGTCATATCCGACATGTTGTTCTTCGTTTCTTCGCCACGACGAAACGGTCTCCTGATTTCACTTTCGCGAAACGTTTGGGCATGGTAAACATAATTCACTGTGGTTCACTGATAACGAAGCATCGTGTATTTCCACATAAATGGAAACTCTCTAACGTCAAATAGGTTTGGTGATTTCATAGCAAAACAATTGTCATAAATATTGACCTCAACAATATATAGTTCGAAATATGTAGATGTGTATGTCATCATATCATAGAAAAAAGGAGTTGTCATGAATATTGATAAAAAAATCAGGAAACATATTTTTACATATTTCAGACTATTTCCTGATTTGATAGTAAAACAGTTGTCATAAATAGTGATAAAAAAATATACAGTTTGAAATAAGTAAAAATATATTTTCTAACTTCACAGGGAAAGTGTTG